CTGTGAAGTGCAAATAAGTGAAATTATGTATATTATGGAGAGTGAGCGAGATTGACAGATTTATGCGAACAACCCTAATTAGCATTGGCATTAACCTTGAAGAAATCGCTGTGCTGAAGCACTGCAAGTCATTAAATCGCATAGTACAACTTAATTGCTTATCGTCTACCGTAACAAACTAGCTGCAAAATAAATTCCCTATGCCTACAGCGTATTTCAGTAAAATATACCGCAACCTCCTGAATTAGTGCGCAAAATCCACTGCATTCAAGAAATTTTACGCGTTAATTGTAATACGGCAAATGGCCGAAATAAGTTCCTATGACGCTGAACTATGAACATCTCAATAGATGAGATTAGTGCACCGCAACTAACCATACGGTAATTTTCAAAATCATTTAACACACTCAAACATGTTAATTATTGCTCGTTATCATTGAAACAAGGAGGAGCAGTTGGTAACAATGGCAGCCCATTCAGTGAGGACGGCCTACTTAAATCTGCTGATGTTTTCTTTACAACATTGTTGGAAAACGAATCACCGCTGGACACACCGCTATCGATGTCCTGATGATTCTTGATGGTTTGTGGAGGTGCTGATGGTACGTTGCTATTAGCGTGAGGTGGAACCACTGGCTTCTTCTCGTCAACAACCATTGAATTCTGAAAGAAAATAAAAGTACATTACTGTCTTTTAAACGGTAAGATAGCCCAATCTCCCTAGCTCATTTCCCAAAACCCCATAGGTTACACGCCTAAGCCAAAGCACCATCATTAACGTTTGGACCTCTCACCTAGTACAGTAACCCGCATTGGAATTCAATGTGCTTCTAAATGTACAAGTCAAACGACATTCTTTGCACTGACAACCTTTGAACTACCTGCGCACAATAACATCAGCACTTAGCTTTATATCTGCTTTCAATCAGATTTCTTATGAAAGAACATGAATCAAATATTTATGCTGCTTTATATACAGGTGAATTGCCAGGACTTACCTACCGTAATCGTATTAATCGTGTTTACTTGCTAACAAAGAGCTCAAACTTATTCCTAATTCAGCCTTAGCTTGAACTTTCAGTACATTATAGGAGCGGAGAATATGGTAAGGTTATTGTCAGGTCATATGACACTAAATTCTTGGTTGCACTTACATCTATAGAATCACAAGCCAATAAGAATGTTGACATTGAACAGATTTACCCGGAGAAAACCACTTAACTCAATTTACTGACGAAAAGTTTTAAAAAACATTAGAGCACTTCAAGAGACCAGTACACCCTTAGCTTCTGGTATTTACTCAGTCTTAGAACAAGTGCTTGTTAGCGATTATGCGCTTTTACTTCATCAAAATCACTTGAGAATTTACCGAAAGAGAAGAAAAATCGGGAGGTTCATCGCTCCATAAACATTAAAAAAAGGGAAAGAAGTAAATGGTACCAGGATTAGGAACGAGGTAGGTAAGTAGTTGCCACGTGTCTATTTTTACTGAATGAAAATCTAAGACTGAATTTTTACAAACCTTTGCTGGTTTCGAGCTGTTACTCCTCTTGCATGAACCACATTTTGATTTCTTCTTGGACTCCGTAAGATTTATAGTCTTGCGACGGCTCATAAGCAGCATTTCGACAATACTTTCTGTCAAGGAACTCAAAGTTACTTCGGCACGGT